TTAAAGTGTTTCATTTTAAATATCTTATCATTAAAGATCTTATTGTTCTTTTATTACTATTTAGTTCTAAAAGTAAACTATGATGGAAAGCTGTTTCTTTTTATATAATCTCATCTATATATGCCTATATAAATACAAAATAATTATCACTGATCAATTTTTAAAAAATTATCAAGAAAAGTATTTTTAACTGTTGAGGTTTTAATTAAAATCTTCTAATTGCCATTTTTGGAAAAACAGAGACATAGTCTTCAACATAATTAATATAATCAACAGGAATTCCAAAAGGCTCAGGAAATAATTATTTTACTCTGCTATGTTTTCCTCTCTAGGCTAAAGCAAGCTGAGAGGTGAATAATTAGTAAGTATATTAAAATCATAATAAGGAGAATCTTTATGAGTCGAGGAAGGGGATAGTGAACAAACTGAAAAAATCTCCAGACATGTATATAGATAAATTTTGCAAAGTTTGTCTAAGGCCACTGTATACAGTAGACGTTAGTACAAACATTTTTTTAACATGAAAAGTTCTGTAATAATTATAATCACTTTATCGTTTATAGAAAAACAGTAAAAAGGAAGGGTGTTTTTTTTTAGTGTGTATGTGTGTGTATGTGCTCATAAGAAAAAAAAATGACTTTTTTCACTAGAAAAAACAATTCAGCCATTTTGAGACTCAAGCATGAATGAAAATGGTGATTGGTGAATATCCACGTAAAAAAAAAGTCTGTTTCAAATACATACTGTAGCTTAAACATAAGTCTATTGATATTTATATATAGCAAAGGAAATTATATACATCTAAGTGTATGATTGAGTTGATTTTTATGATGAAAATCAAATAAGTGCTAAAGGATACAGAGGACATGAGCAGTTCTAAATGTGAGATAGTCCAGTATTTTGCACTGTCAAGGGTGTACTTTGGGAAAAAATGATCAATGGAAAAAAGAATTGAAAGAAACAAAAGTGAAAGTAAAATGGTTAGCTACCTCATCTCCATCAAACTGGAGATCACCTGATATCCTACTTTTCACTTCTACTGTTCTTTGTAGAAGAATGAAGATTAGCATGATTAAATAGCAATAGCACTTAGACTTATATACTGCTACAGAGTGCTTTACAGCCCTCTCTATGTGGTTTACAGAATCAGCATATTGCCTCCAACAATCTGGGTCCTCATTTTTACCACCCTCATAAGGATGGAAGGCTGAGTCAACCTTGAGCTGGTGAGATTCAAACTGCCAAACTGCAGGCAGCTGGCAGTCAGCAGAAGTAGCCTGCAGTGCTGCATTCTAACCACTGCACCATCTCTTAAATGCCATTCCCTTGGGACTGTATGGTATTGTTTCCAGTAGCTCTGGAAAGTTCTGTAAATTTGCTTTCTTTCCCTGCTTTTGGTTGTCTTTTGACCTGTTTTCTGTCAGTTTATTTTTCTTACAAAAGTTTGCTAATATTTAATAATCAACATTAGGCTATATTAGTTAGTTGAAAGGAATGGTGTGTGTGCTTAATCTGATCAAGATGTCAGCTTTGGAAGCTATAGTAGCACTAGAAGCTTCCAGGCTGCCACATTCTTGTGCTTGGGAAATTGGGACGGGAGATTTCATGGGGCGTAAGTGGGTAGACATAATAGCATTTTTCTTTACAATCAAGGTCATGTTATTCCTGCGCCTGGTTGAGGAGTGGTTGAAGAGATGTCTCAAGTTGGAACAGGTGGTGATTGGGCCATGTGATGGAGTGATGGGTGCAGGGGATGGATTTTGTATTTTTAATTACTGAAGGAAAACCCGGAACTCTCAGATTCAGGTTTTCCCAGATGTGCCAGTATGACAACTCTAATAAAATGGAGCTTTGAGAAAATGCCTGTCTCAGAGTTTGGAGTTTGGTTTTTCTGGAATGCTGACACAGGGTGTTGGTATTAATTGGGAGTGTGTTGGGTACAAACTAACAAACCCAGAACCATTTTCCAATAGAATAACTAAAGAAAGAGAAAATATGAGTCCCAGGTAGAAAAAGAATTAGGGAATTGATTGATCTCCCAACATAATGAGTAGAAGATAAACAGAATGGAAAAAGTGAAAAGAAGTATTGCAGAGGATACGAAAAAAGTTCCATGGTAGAATAATGAAGTCAAAGGAGTAGGAGATGAGAAAAATGCATGTAAGAGAATGATTGTGGTTAAACATGTATGTCACCTATTCACAAACTCTAGGTAGTTCGTAGCTATAAGAACAAAATAGCAATAATGTGTATATAGGAAAAAGATAGTTGAAAAATTGAAGTCAAAGAGAACAAGTTATGGTTAAGTTTAAAAGACTTAAAATGAGCATTAATTAATCTATTATTATGCTGCTTTAAACTATTTTTTAATTTTTCAAGAGATGACTTTAGCAGAATAGATGGAATAAAAATTCAAGCAATGAAATGATGTTCTAAAAATGATGAAATTTTTTACCAGAATTATAGTGATAATGTTGAGGAATGAAACTGAAATAAACGCTATAAAATTAAGCACAGAGAAATAAGCATTTGTGCTTCACTGCTGGAGGCCACTATTGAGCACTATATATTTATTATTGTTTTGTTTCAGGAAACATAAGGGTTTGTTCACTATAGCTATATAACTATAGTTTATAGTATTTAACTTGTAGTGTAGCTGAAATTACTAAAATAAGGATGAAATCATAACCTAAATAAATTTAAGTCATAAAATAAGAGAAGGGAAACAGCTAGAACTAGTTTACAACAATACCACAATTTTTTTTTGCAAACCATTCTTGCCTGCAGTGCATATATTGATTTTTATTCTTTAAAAAAGTTTAGTTAAAATTTCATGGATATCATTTAACCCCAACCTTTTCAGTGTTTGTTTCTTCTTGACTCATTAATTCATTTCATCTATATTTGTTTTTTAGTGCTATCTTCATTTATTTTCTCTATATAGCAAAGCAACTCAATATATTTCTTCCATGCCAGTCACTCCCTTTGATATCTAATCCACATTCACTCAGCCCAGTGGTGGGATTCAAATTTTTTTACTACCGGTTCTGTGGACGTGGCTTGGTGGGCGTGGCAGGGGAAGGATACTGTAAAATCTCCAGTCAAAGGTGGTATTTGCCGGTTCTCTGAACTACTCAAAATTTCCACTACCGGTTCTCCAGAACTGGTCAGAACCTGCTGAATACTACCTCTGACTCAGCCCATTTTTATTCCTAATTTTACATTTTCTTGTTTTACTATGCAGACTTCTTAGGTGTCCTATGTCCACTGCTTGTTAAGACCATGTTAAGATCATGCCCATGATCAAATATTATGGATGGGGCTATATATTCCAATTCAGCTAGCAAGCCCTAGAACAACCCATCTGGTGTACTACTTAAATTGTCCCAGGGAGATCCACGTTCAAATCCACCTTCAGCTAGAGAAGCTCCCTAGGTGCCTTTGTATCAGTCACTCTTCTCAATCCAATCTACTTAACATGATTGTTGCTAGGAGGAAATTAGGAAGTGGGAATACTATATACACTGCCATGAGCCTCTATAGCTGTGATGGCAAACTTATGGCACACGTGCCACAGGTGGCACGCAGAGCCATTTGTGCCGGCACGCAAGCTGCAGGCAAACTTACCTCACTGCACATATGCATGCTTCACAGCTGATTTTTTGCAGGTTTGAGGCCTTTTTCGGCCTCCCAAAGGCTTGAGAAAGGCTTCTGCAGGCTTCTGCAGGCTTTGCAGCCTGAAAACTAGCCCCATTTCATCACTCCTGTTTTCCCGAAAATACTGGAAATGACAAAAGGGGGCTAGTTTTCAGGCTGCAACGCCTGCAGAAGCCTTCAGAAGCCTTCCTCAAGCCTTTGGGAGGCTAAAAGAGGCCTCAAACCCACCAAAAATCAGCTGTGAGGCCCAGTGCAGGTAAAGGGGTGGGTGGGGATTGCGCGCGCATGCGTAGGGGGCATGGGGGGCGCATTGCCTTCTAGGTGCTGGCACACGAGTGTGAGCGTGCAAGCGTGCGCACAATTTTTGGCACAGGAGCCCAAAAAGGTTAGCCACCACTGCTCTATAGAATAGAAAGAATAAAATTGTAATATATATACATTTAATACATTAGCCTCTGACTGATACAATGTAAGCAGTAATAGCAAACTCTGGAAACATGTTAGATCCTGGCTTTACGCAGAGATTTCTCTTGCTGAATTAAAGCGCTGATGATGATTACCTAGTCTGGCTAAGGAAACATCTGCAAGAAAACAACTCAGAGAACATCAAGGACCCCTCATGTCAACCCTAAGCTACAAATATTCTCCTTTATTGAATTAAAGGAATGATGGACAAGATTAATCAGAATGAACAAAACTCTGTTCAATATTATTCAACATATCTCCAGAGACGTAGCAATAGCAACAGCACTTAGACTTATATACTGCTTAATAGTGCTTTACAGCCCTCTCTAAGTGGTTTATAGGGTCAGCATATTGGTCCCAACAATCTGGGTCTTCCTTTTTCTGACCTCAGAAGAATGGAAGGCTGAGTCAACCTTGAACTGATATAGAATTGAACTGCCAAACTGCTGGCAGCCGGCAGTCAGCAGAAATAGCATGCAGTACTGCATTCTAACCACTGCGCCACCACAGCTTCTTTGGCCTTTGGGAAAAGAGTTACTGTGCATTTCTAAACCAGTCTCTTAAAATAGAGATATAAATATATGTGGGCACAAAGTTTCCATAATTTGCCTTAAACAGTAACAGCATTGCATATAAATTATCATATTATATTCTGATCAAGAGGGATAGCTAATTGTTTAATTTAATCCTCCTCATTGTTGCAAAACAAAATAGGTTTTTTGAAAAATATTTCAGAGATTTCACTTTAAAAAAAAAAGGAGGTAAATGAGAAGGTAGAGTTACTCACTAAATTCATATAACAATGATTTTAATTTGTACACATTTGTACATGCATTTACATGTACTGTATATGAAATAAAGAAACACCATGTTCTTACTGTTTTCTTATCACAAATGCAGAATCAAGTCCAAGAACAGAGAGGGCCTTGTTTCTATCTGGGTCGCCATTTCTCAAAACCTTCAGTCTCAAAGGCATGTTGATCTCTGGCTTCCTACCAGCCGGCTTCTTTAGTGGAGGGCTGTTTGGAATCAGCAGACCTTCAATGGGCCAGTCAAAAGCCTTTCAACACAAAAATAAATATTGAGGTATTGTAAGGCCATGTATTATAACAATGTTAATAATTCAACTTCTTGGAGACAAAGAGCTCCACACACGGAATTAGAATATGGGTTGAGAGGGCCAAAATAGCAAAAGTAACAATGCCAGCAAATACAGTACACCAAATCTTCTGCAGATAGGACTCAGCCATGAATAATTAAAAGTTCAAACATTTCATAGTTCTTTTAAAATTCACAGACAGTTGAACAGTTACATAGATTTACTATCTGCCTAGGAGAGATACTGTGAGGCAAAATATTATCATGGTTCCTCACATGTACATTTGAAAGCAACAGATGAAACTACTGAATCCTATATCCTCAGTGCTTGAATGGTTAGAGAAAAGAAAACCAAAAGCATTAAACAACTTCAGACATATAAGATCTTTTTTCCCCAAAACTAATCGACAGAAGTTACTAAGTTTATGAAAAAAGCTTTGGAGAAATGCTTTGCTTCAGTAAGGTTTCTGGTGAGGCAACATGCCCCTTTCTGACAACAAAGTGAAGCTGCCATGTTGTGTTGTATATATAGGAGAAACCCCTTTCTGGATATTGGAACAGCTAGCTGAGGCTTTTACAACAGGAAGAACTTCACTGAGGCAAATCTTGCTTCCTCCTTATCTTTATCAGGAGAATGATACTGTCTTCACAAATGAGATAAAGCTAAATCCAGGTCACCTGGGAAAATGGAATTTAATTCTGTGCATGACATGCTGACTAAATATGCCAAAATTGATCAAAGTTTCTCTTAATGTTACAGTAGTAGGGAATCCTTCATGTAACATAGGATTAGTAGGGAATCCTGCATGTAGCATAGGTATAACTAAGAATGAAAAATCAACACTTTGCTGTAAAACAGTATATCAAAGTCTGATTGAACAAAGTGTTGATTTTGACAGGGGTCAATATCTATGGGCCCTTCTGGTGTGGATCATAACAAATGAAAGATTTTGACTTGGAATGTAAAAGGATTAAATGGTAAAGAGCCAGAATTAACTAATGGGGAAAAAATTAGAAATGTATGTCTGTGAAATTAAGACAATAGGGGAGAATTTAATAGATATGAATAAACATAACCTAGTATTGTGGAATAGAGATGATGAAAACATTCATAGGGAATGAAGGTATAGCTTTAACTATCCCAGTGATGGGATTCAATTTTTTTTACTGCTGGTTCTGTGGGCGTGGCTTGGTGGGTGTGGCTTGGCAGGCGTGGCTTGGTAGGGGTATCAGGGGAAGGATACTGCAAAATCCCCATTCCCTCTCCACTCCACTAACCTGCTTTCCAGCTCCGCTGTCCTGTGCAGGGCAACAAAAGAAGATCCAGCAGATCAGCTAAGAGGCTGGGAGCAGGGGTGGGATTCAATTTTTTTAACAACTGGTTCTGTGGGCGTGGCTTAGTTGGTGGGCATGGCTTGGTGGTCATGTGACTGGCTGGGCGTGGCCAACTCAACATCACTCATATCGAGGTATGCATCTTCTCGTCTGGCCTCTCATGACTGTGGGGATGCTGCAACAGTCGTAAGTGTGAAATACTTCACGGTCATAAATCACTTTTTTCAGTGCCATTGTAACTTTGAATGGTCACTCCACACAAGCAAAGTACCAGCAAAGGAGGGGAAAAAAACTCCAGAGAAGTTCAAGAGACAGCAAGTCTAGTCCTGCCAAGAATGTAATAAGGGTTAACAGAGAGGCAGTTTCTGTAAGCAACACCAGAATGTTTCCTTCCTGCCTTCCTTACAGGATTAGGCCAGTAATTTCTTCTAACAACCGGTTCTCCGAACTGCTTAGAATGTTAACAACCAGTTCTAGCGAATAGGTGCGAACCTGTAGAATCCCATCCTGGCTGGGAGGCAGTGAATAGATCAATTGGGTTCCCCAGCCTTACAGGTTAGGCACCTGGGAGCCAAATCAGTGCGCATGGGACTCCTGGAAGGGGCAGGGGCAGGTTGGTGAGGCCAATCAGAGGTGGTATTTGCCAGTTCTTCAAACTGATCATAATTTCCACTACTGGTCCACCAGAACTGGTCCAAACTGGCTGAATACCACCTCTGTATGAATGAAATAATTGAGTTCTGTGTCATAAAATATGAATTGGTGTCATCTAGATTGCTTTTTGTGAGTACAAATAATGAAAGACGAATGGCCATTGTTGTATTTTGATGGACAGCAATTTATATTAACCACATGGAACAATTTTTTTACATTGCATATGATGATGATTTACTTTATTTATATTTCATACTTTTTAAACATCTTCTCATTGCCTATATGGTTAGGGTTAGTGTCTATGTATGTATCTACTTATTTTAAATATCTTGGATAAATATGTAGAGATCACATGCGCATGCACGTTTGTCTATTTGTCTACCCCCCCCCCAAGAAGTTACCTGGTTTAATTCTCCATTTGGAAGTACAGGCCACATATAGGTCAACTTATTCCATAAAGGATTATCCACTTTTGATTGTTTCCATTGACCAGGCTTATTTGTTCCTTCATGTTTAATTGCCCATCTGAAAGAGAAAGGTCTATTTTCATATGAGAAGGTTCACTTGTTTTTTTAACTAATATGTTTCTGGTTGGCAGTAACTTGGGAAGCTAAATTATCTTCCCTTTGGCAAATAGTTATTTTTAAAAACTTCTCAAACACTGTACATACGCATATATGTGCACCGTTTATCTGCTTCTTCCACCTTGCTGGCTTTCAGTTCGTTATTCCTGCTCTGTGAATTTAATGTCAACTTATATAAATGTGATTTTCATGTATCTCTTCTTAGCATTTTCTATATATTTGGATTGTTCTTTTCCAACATTTTATTGTTTAAATGGCTTGTGCATATGTTATAATACAGTGTAATGAAGTATAGGCCAATTGAACTTAATAAAGAAAATAAGCTATAGACAAACTATATGAAGTCATGCATGATATGCATCTTATAACAAAGGAATTAACTGCATATAAAACTTCAAAATTATTTTTTTAAAGAATATGGCCTATATGACAATCAAATACAATATAATATAACATAGAATATTGCATCTTTTTTATTATATACAATCATACATAACATGCAAAAATATAGACAAAATATGCACAAAAAATATACACAGCAAGATACTAAATGAACAGGGAAACTGTTTATATAAATTATTGATACAAGAAAGAGATGACATTTAGTTTCTTAACTACTAACATATTCCTATTCTGGAATAGTCATTCTATTTACTGCCCATTTAACAAGAACAAGGAAATTAATTTATCTAGAGCACTGGAAATCAATACTCTTACAATTACATTATCTTAAAACAGCTTAATTCACATCACTTGGATTCCTGTTCAGTTCTCTATAATTTCCTTTTAGAAACTGATAATACCAAATGATTTTTTAAAAATAATTTTTTTCTAAAAATATAGACATCAGTGAATGGGGTAACGAGATAGATAAGCTACAGGCGTTCTAACAATATTTCCTGATGCATTCAGTCTATCTAAAAGGTGCCTACTTTAGTTTAATCTCCTTTTAAATATATATATATTTTTCTTTTTTCAGAAATTTGCAAATCCTATTTGAGAGAAAAAGTTTGATTGCTATTCACTTGAGCAAGAGGCAGTTTGGGATCCAGTTGCATATGTGAAGCCTGTCAAGATTCTGCCAGGTCTTGTGCATTATTGGTAATGAAAATCTGCAGTGTACACCACATGGTTTTCCCTGAAAGTGCTATTAAGCTGCCAGGTTTCAACCACAGTATGATTTTTAACAACCAAGTTCAAGCCTTCTGAAAACTGTGTTTTATAAATGAAAAGCTGACAATCTCTGAACTGCATTGGCACTAATAGGTAGCAAAATAATGACTGTATAAGTGCCTAAATGCATTCTGCCCTTACAGCATTTCATTGGGGATGGGGGGGAGGGCTGCCTCTGCTTTCAATACTATATCTCTGTTTTAAATTACAATATTTCTCATTTGCAGCCACTAGGTGGAAACAGCGGTTCATGGAAGCTGAGTTGAGAACCATGTGTTTTCAAAGCTTAACATTTAATCCTACCTACTTTATTTCATTTTCTTTTTATTGCAGGCAGTTTCTAATACAATTGCTTTTACCTTTACGGCATTCAAAGATGAAATGTAGATTTTATAATGTCCCCAACAGCTATCAAATCTCTGTTTTTCAAGAATACATGCAAAGTTCAATACTAGGCTAAAAACAATTATGATAGACTTTCTAACTCCATAATCAATGGGTATGATTTAAATCCTTTTCTTTCTTTCTTTCTTTTTTAAAAAGCAAAGGACAGATTGAAACCATCAATTTTTATCAGTAGGAAGTATGTTCAGTCTTGCCATTTACACATGAAACCAAATCTGAGTCAGACCGAACAATGGGTCCAATGGAAAAAAGCAAAGGGAAGTACTACAGTTTGAGCAGTAGTCAAGCAGGCTCACTTAATGTACGCCAAGGTTTCAGATGAAGCCAACATGTATTTCTTGAGATTTTTACCACTTTGTATAAACTTGGGGAAAAAACTAACAGCGCCCATCTTTGCACATTTACTCAGCAATATACACCACACACAGTATACAATGCATGCTTTTCTCATTGTTAATGAATTCTACCACATGCAGGGAATATCTTGAATCTGCTGCAAACTGCATGCCTGACCATAGCATGACACCTGTAAAAAAAAAACCCATCACTAGCAGGCTGTAAAAAAAAGTCCAATTCCCATATTTTTTTTTTGATAGAGAAACGCCTTGTTTTTTATTTTTTGCAAACTTTCCTAATATAGTTGCTTCCGCACCCCACCACCCCAAGGTTTTCCAAACTCTCCACTAAGAGATGAACAAAAAGTGTGTGTATGTGTACAAGGTAGTTTAGTTTTGTTTGATAATTACAGAGCTGTGTTTCCACTCCTGTTCCATTTCAGCTACTCTCTGATTCTAGGAAGTGAGATCAGTTGAAGTACAGGAGATTAAATTAGATTTTACAATGCCTTGGGCTTGCACTGCAGATCAAATGGGTTGAAGTGTATCAGGACTCAGTGCTTTATGGCAATGTGAACAATTGTACAAGACAAATGGGATTCATTATAAAGCTAGATACAAGAATTTCAGTAGGGCTGGTCCATTCCTTAACATGATATTTTGGGATGTCCCTAATGAAAAAATGAATAAGCTTTCATTTGGTTTGCCTAACCAGAATATTTTGACAGACTTTCATTCCAAGATTTCAGCACTCAACAATCAAAGCAGTATCTGGCTATAGAACACACAAATTTTGCTTTAATTGTTATGATGTTGCCTCACTAAAACTACAAAGCATGATAAAATCAAACTTTTGAAGGAAGTTATAGAGCTCCACAAAAATTAGCCGCTATCACAGCTGGCTAGCAGGAAAATTAATTTTTCCTGCTATTCTTTTTTAAAACCCACATAGGAATAATAAATGATCCAATAATTTTACCAGATTAAATACTCCAACCTACAATGCACCAACAGATAGAGGAATGCAATCTGCATGTTGCATTGACTAGGAACTATCCCAGAAAATTATTGCATTCACACAAAGATGCAAATAATAATAATAATATATATCGAAGAGACATCGTTAAAAGATTTGTGGACTTAGAACATATAACTTAGAATAACAGAGTTGGAAGGGACCTTGGAGGTCTTCTAGTCCAACCCCCTGCCTAGGCAGGAAACCCTATACCACTTCAGACAAATGGTTATCCAACATCTTTTTAAAAACTTCCAGTGTTGGAGCATTCACAACTTCTGGAGGCAAGTTGTTCCATTGATTAATTGTTATAACTGTCAGGAAATTTCTCCTTAGTTCTAAGTTGCTTTTCTCCTTCATTAGTTTCTACCCATTGCTTCTTGTCCTTAAGTACAGTTCCAGAAAGAGAAACAATATGGTGTCCATACAAGTATAGCATTATTACAACAGCATTTCTTGCCATGTCTTAGTCTTCTTTGGTCACCATTGACTGTCTTCTATTTAGCAGAATCCATGGAGGGCTGGCAAGTAAAGAGAATGGAGATGAGCTTCTATCTTCTATCAGCAGATGAAAGAGTCACACTTTTTCTTAGTCCTTTTATTAACTCTTGTATGGATCATAACATCCTTCCTAACAGCAACAGTCTTCATGAAATTTTCAGTCTGGTAAATACTCAATCTCATAATTAAGTGTAATGCCCATCTCCAGCTTATTTAAGGGCTTGCCAGCATAGAAGAGCACTAGCTTGCAATCTTGGCATTTCCAAGAAGGGTTGAGTAAATGCCAAAATGAAATTCTGTGGAACTATTGCCAGCCATACAACACACTGACTCAAGTCACTTGTTCTTGACATTTATATTATTGAACTTATAGGCCATCAAATTAAAAATTCAAGGAAGTAAAAAAAAATCACAAAATATCAGAAATTTCTACAGCACGGATATCAAACTCACATTGCCGTCACATGACATTTCGTGACATTTTTCCTATTCGCGGAGCTGGGGTGGCCTGCGCATGATGCATCCATCCCACGGGCCATCAGTTTGACACCCCTGCTCTACAGAAATGGTATTGCAGAGATCAGGGACAGAACTGAGTATACAAGACTGTGATTTCCTAAGATATGGCACTGTTAAATCAATGGGACCTGGATCATATCCAGCTTGTTAGATCTTTTAGGATGGGAGAGAAAATTGGAGAAAGATGGCCCTATAAGTGGCCAGTTGAGCCACATGGGCTTTGTAGAGGACAACCAGGACCTTGAATTTCACTTAGAAATCTACTGATGAACAATGCAGCTGGTGGAGCAGATATATTGCAGAATACACCCATAATGGCTAGCACAGCACATTCTGAACCAGCTAGAGTTATAAATCTTATGACATATGCCAGTTTTGGAACCTGATTATACAGAAAGTCTAGAATACAGTTTATTGAGATAGTTATAGTAACAGAATCTTGCAAAACTCATGTTTTTTCCCTTCCAATCTATTAATGGTATCAAAAATCTTGAGAAGCCAACTAGGATCAAGAGAGCTATATCAGCCAAGTCCCAATTTTAGAAGAGATCATTCACAAGTCTAATCAGTGCTGTCTCAGTATTATATCTTGGCCTGGAATCTGACTAAAAAAAGATCCAGCTCTCTCTGGAGCTTCAGTCCAACCAGGGGTGGGATTCTACTGGTTCTGTCCACTTCTGTAGAACCGGTTGCTATGAAAAGCAGCAAACAGAGAGCATACATAGAACCGGTTCTATGTCTGCTGCTGTTTTGGCCCACCCGTCCGCCCGGGCTCTTACCTGACTTTTATTTCCTACATTTTCAACCTCAGCTGCTTTGCACGACACCGCTGTAGTTGAAAAAGCAGGAAAAAGTGCTTTGTCAACTGCTGCGCACCTGCACGCAGCGCTGCTCAGCTGTCCAGG